TTAGGGGTAATTTATTCCTAGTTGAAAATGAAGTAACTCTTTGGAGGAATGACATTGACACCTTCATAAATATGCAATTCGCATCTAGCAATCATATTATTTTACGTCTGTTTTTACCCAGTGAACCCTGCGTCAATGCCGTCTTAGGACAAGGCACGGGAGTAAGAAGAGCGTAAGAAAAAAAAAAAATACCTTTACACGATGATTTTTTTTTTTCACTATGATGCAGTCACAAACTTGTTTTACTGTCATAAGTGTCAGAAAGAGTAAGGTTAATCGACATTCCGAACAGCCAGTTTGGTGGATGTCAACCCGTAAAATGCAATGCTGTTGATAGGTTTCTTGACATTACTATTTTAATTGAAAATCTGTGTTTTCTGAAACGTGAAACCGGCAAGTAAAAAGTACACAAAACCAGTAGGGATTTGGCCAAGAGTAAAAAAGGAATTTTAAGTTAGTGGGGGATGGGGGTTAGACTGTATTTGACAGAGGTAAAAATGACATATTTTTTTGTATCATTAAAAAAAAAAAAAAAAAATTGGATGATGAATAAGAATTTATAACATTTGAACCAGGTCAGCCCATATGGAAGAAAAATATATTTGAAATATATTTTAAAAAATATTCCCAAATATATTGCCATATATTTGAAATGCTACAATTTTGGCCATATTCAATATATTTCAAAATATGTGAAACAATAAAACAGCGCTGTTTTATTGTTTCACTGATTTTTTTGATTTTTATCAATCTTTTTGATTCTTATCAAGGCACAGCAGCATTCACTTTCAAACTTTTCACATAGTTCTTGTGGCGAAGGTTGTTTTTGTTTTAGTATATTTCAAAATATATTTCAATAAATATATAAATATATATATATATATATATATATATATATATATATAAAAACTACATGTTGAAATGCGTTTTTATTACTAAATATATGAAAAATATTTTTAAAAATACATTTCAAATATACTGTAGGTCTTTAAAAATACAAATCTACATTTTTGGAGCGCATTTACAAATATATGTAAAAATATATGTTAAAAGGACTTTTCTATATGTTAAAAAAATCTGAAGAATATAATCTGAAGAATATATTTAAAAAAATATATGTTAAAGTAATTTTAACATATATTTTTACATATATCTGTAAATGCATTCCAAAAATGTAGATTTGTATTTTTAAAGACATACAGTATATTTGAAATGTGTTTTTAAAAATATTTTTCATATATTTTGTAATAAAAACGCATTTCAACATGCAGTATATATATATATATATATATATATATATATTTATTTAAATATGTTTTGAAATATATTGAATAAGGCCGAAATTGTAGCATTTCAAATATATGGCAATATATTTGGGAAGAATATTTTTTAAATATATTTTCAAATATATTTTTTTTCCATGTGGGAGATTTCACAGTTTCCAGGCCTTGAAGTGCAACAGTTTTTTAACAATTTGTTTGCAGCATCGTACCTTTCTGTCTTCTAAATAAATGTATTTTTCTCAAATTTAAAAAAGTGGTTCTAAACACACACACTGTTTAATTGACATTGTCCCTTCTTTTTCTGTTTGTGGATGATGACACTGTAATTATTTTTATTAAAAAAGTACCCGTTTTCTAATTAATATACAAAAGTCACATAACCCAGCTCTTTCCCAGTCTGTCTGTAGGGAAACAGTGGCAGGAGGAGCTTCTTGTCCTCTGCTACTGGTCACAAATATTAACAATATTAACAATATTAATATTTGTTAACAAATATTAGAATAACAGGGAGGCGAAGCTTCCATCAATAAAGATGTAATATCCCACCCCCCTTGTGTTTAGCTGGTTAGTGGGCGTGGAAAAGGAGGGAGGGAGTGGGCTGTCATTTATCCCTATGTATACGCCCACATGTGTGACTCTATAGACACATGGGCTGCTCAGATGTGATAGGGAGGAAATGCACAGCATAGAAATACACTGAAAACTGAGCATGTGCAGTAGCTGCCAACACTGCTCTGCAAATTCCCCAACTGCAGTGGAGACATGGAAAGGAGGGGGAGATAGAGAACAGCAGGATCAACCAGGTTTACAGAATATAGAAAAAATGAATCCCATAGTTACTGAATGAATATGAACAACATGTAATATAGCATTTATTGATAGCTTTTAACCACTTCCCGTCCAGCCCATGTAAGTAAAAAAGCCGGCCAGGAGCAGTGCAGGAGCGGGTTGCCCTTCATAAATGGCGCCCGCATTTACAGCCTGTACATGCTCCCTGGTAGCACGTGGCACCCGCGATCTTGTGCCCGCTGTGTCCGGAGCAGAACACCAATTGCTGTACGGGACTTCTGTGTGATGACTGATTGGCCAGTCAGTTATCACTTGAATAGTAGTAAGCAAGATGTCACCTCCTGACATCATTGCTTACTACGTGTGAAATCTGTGAATGATAACAGAGATCACATGGTACAAGGCTATTCACAACAGCCTTGTACCATGTGACAAGCTGTGACCAATCGCAGCTCACACAGTATTTCTCAATGGCTGCAAGAATGCAGCCAGAGAGAAGGAGAAATGATTGCTTTTACAGCCTTTATGGGTGTAAAAGCAATCAGTGTAGAAAAAAAAATCTTCGTCACCCCCCACAAGTAGTACAGTGTCACTATGGTAACACTGTACTACTAGGGTGACAGTATGTTAAAGAAAAAAAACATAAATAATAATATTAAAAAATAATATATAATGTAAAAAAAATTTAGAAAATTTATCAGTGTAAAAAAAAGAAAACAAATCTTCATCACCCCCACAAGTAGTACAGTGTCACCATGGTGACACTGTACTGCTAGGGTGACAGTATGTTAAAAAAAACATAAATAATAATATAAAACAAATAAAATAAAACATTTTTTTTTTTTAAATTATAATTTTTGGTTATAAACTAATTTGTAACTAAAAAGATAACTGAATACATTTTGGCCAAGTTTTATGAAGAAAGATTATTTATTTGCTAAATTTATAAGAAAAAACACTTTTTTTTTTAAAAAATTTTTGGACTTTTTCATTTATATAGCAAAAAAAAAAATAAAAATCCCACCAAAATAAAGTTTTATCTGTCTCAAAAAATGCTAAAAAATTCATATGGGTACAGTGTTGCATGACCACACAATTGTCATTCAAAGTGTGATAGCGCTGAAAGCTGAAGATTGGCCTGGACCGGAAGGGGGTGGAAGTGGCCGGACTTGAAGTGGTAATGATGTGTGTTTAATGACACTTTAGGTATAATCACGTGAACATTCCCTGTGTTAGGCTGGCCATACATTATACAATTTTCTGTCCAGTTTCTGCCGAAAGTCCTTTGGATTTACCTTCAACTATGTAGTGCAAGAGCCCGCCTAATTGGATACAACTGAAAGTGTTGTTTGGGTTTGACCTCATATTATATGGTTTTTGGTAAATCTAAACTAAAAATCTCAAGAAAATTGTATAATAAGGAGAAAAGTTGGAATCTCTGCATTCCTTCAGATAAACATAACGGAGTATCTCACCAGCAACAAGACTCTTGTTGGAAGGGATGCCTGGAATAGCTCTGTGCAGACTGCTGGGAAAGACATGGGCCAGTAGGGGCTCTTGCACACTGAGCCGCTCAGCTGCAGTACGTCTCTACAGGAGGGGCAGGTGCAGCGTCCAGCCCTGCTCCAGGCAACCGGTCAAAGTCTATGGCAGGCTGTGGCTGGACAGGGCTGAAAGCTGTACCAAGTGGTATCATGGTTCAGGGCAGGGGCGGACTGACAACTCATGGGGCCCCCGGGCAATAGGGGATCATGGGGCCCCCTGTGTCCTTGCCCACACTCAAAAAAGCCTATAAAAAAAAAGGTACCAGGGGCATTTCATGGGGCCCCCTACTGACCCCGAGCCCTCGGGCCGTGCCCGAGTGCTCGAATGGTCAGTCCGCCCCTGGTTCAGGGCACTGTCCGTACAAGGACGGGGATTTGGAAGACAGGCTTAATATGTTTCGGAAATTAGATTTTTTGAGCTCAAGTTGTACACCAACAATGAAAAATGAAAAGAAAGAAATACCATCCCGAAGACAGTTCTGACATCTTAGATCTCATTCCTGATAATGTCGAGTCTCGGGCAGGGACGGACTGACAACTCATGGGGCCCCCGGGCAATAGGGGATCATGGTGCCCCTGTGTCCTTGCCCAAACTCAAAGCCTATGAAAAAGGTGCCAGGGGCATCTCATAGGGCCCCCTACTGACCCCAGGCCCTCGGGCAATGCCTGAGTTTCCAAATGGTCAGTCCACCCCCTGGTCTCGGGTGATGTCCCAGGTTCACCAGGTTATCCTTTTTTGAGTTACTGTGCATATGGAGTTACTCAATATGCAGGGGCGGACTGACCATTTGGAAACTTGGGCTCTCTGCCCGAGGGCCCCGGGTCAGAATGGGGCCCCATGAGATGCCCCTGGTACCTTTTTCATAGGCTTTTTTGAGTTTGGGCAAGGACACAGGGGCCCCATGATCCCCTATTGCCCGGAGGGCTGTCAGGCCCCATGATTTGTCAGTCCGCCCCTGTCAATATGGCATTTATCTTGGTGATTAGGTGCTGTGTGTGGGCATTTACCCAATAATTAGAGTATGGGCTGGCCACTCTGGTTGGGAGGCAGGATTTGGGCAGAGCCACCTTGGTGGGGTTAGGGTTAACTGGGTAACAGGGCCCTGGACTTAAACAATCTTTGACTCATCTTCAATTTACTATCTGAGATGACACCCCACTGATAAAAACCTTCCTGACCCCTTTCGGTCTTTCACCCACAAGACTGCAGAGAACCTGCCCTTCCAAAACTCACTAACAATTTACTGGCCATTGGCCAGTAAGTTCCCTTACTATAGGAACATTTTTCCTGCCTTCAACACAGTTGACTACCTGCTCCTCCTCAAAAAAACTTCACTCCCTTGGCCTCCAATTATCTGCTCTTTCTGGTTCTCCTTCTACCTATTTAACCCCTTGACGCCGAAGTGACACAAATATGCGGCCTCACAGAACTGGGCTTTTTTCTGTGGGGCCGCATATTTGCTTACCTGTCTTTGTGCACAAAGACCCCGGTGTCACTGAAAGCACTGGGTCCCAATCTAACGATCGGGACCCGGGGGCACTCCCGATTTCCGGGTCACATGATCGCTGTGATAGCCTCTGATTGGCTATCACAGTGATCAGTCACCTTGTTTTTTTTCCTCTCTCTATGAAATTATGGAGGAGAGAGATACATTGTATCCCTCTAGCTCCTGGCATAGAGGGAAAAAAAACAATTTTTGTAAAAAAAGAAAAAAAAAAAAAGATAAATAAATAAATATTAAAAAAAATAAAAGAAAAAATACCTAGATTAAGGTTTGATCTAGTTCAGTGCCAGGGTTAGTGTTTGGGTCAAGGTCAGGGTCAAAGGTCAGGATTTTTTAAAAAAATTGGTATCAGTGTCAGTTAGTATCAATGTCAGTGTCAGTGTGTTTTAGGTAAAAAAAAAAAAAAAAGACAAAAAACAAAAAGTGCACTATTGTTTCTGGGCTGTACTACGGGTACAAACAACAAATAACATACACATGTATGGTATCGCTGAGATCGCCAAGAGCTGGAAAATTTATTTTGGGTTGTTCTTTGGTGGTAGGTTATGGTGGTAACAAGAAACACACAGCTACATATAAAAAAAAATATTTTTTTTTACTCTTTTGGGCCAGTTTTTACCTTTGATAATAAAAAAATAATCAGGAGATATCCATTACCATTTACCACCAATGAAAGCCAATTTGTCCTGAAAAAAACAAGGTATAATTCACCTGGATGTACAAAGTATTTGTGATGATATGTACGGTTTTACTAACACATGTCAACGTTGCAAAATTGTGCTTAGGCATTTAGATTTGTTTTACCCTTAGGCATGAAGGGTTAAGATTTAGAACATATGATCCTGATGAAGACGCAGGGCAACCTGCAAAATGCGTAGACCGACTTATGTCATCTTGATCATTATATATAGCATCATTGGGACCTATCCATACAAATGTGCTCGCTATGTATGATAGATTATCGTTGGTTTTAACTTTGTAATCATCTATTGACTTTTTATAAGATTTGGAATAAAGAATGAAATAAGTTTGTGACTGTCTTGACTCCTAATGGCAAATTTAAAGTCCCATTTCTTTTCTTTTTTTTTTGGCATGATTATTACGGGATGATATCAGATCTGACCCTACCATGGATGTCCCAAGGCACCTCGTAAGCAGTGCCGGACAAACTAATCTAGAACCCAGGGTGAATATTCTAAACTGCACCCCCCAAGATGTATGAGAATTACTTGTCAGCAAACCCCCCCCCCCCCAAAAAAAAAATCTGCATGCTTACCCCCAGACATAAATTCCATCTCCTCCTAGTACAAATTCACCCTCCTGCTGAAATCCCCCCTCCCAGCACAAATCTTGCCCCCCTATCCTCCATAAATTATTTATTTTTTTACTATTTTGGGCCAGTTTTCCTTTAATAAAAAAAAAAATCAGGAGATATCATTACCATTTACCACCAAATGAAAGCCCAATTTATCCTGAAAAAAACGCGGTATAATTCACATGGATGTAGAAAGTAGTTGTGATGATATGTACGGTTTTACTAACACATGTCAACGTTGTAAAATTGTGCTTAGGCATTTAGATTTGTTTTAACCTTAGGCGTGAAGGGGTTAAACACTCATTCAGTGTCACCTACAGCTCAACCACCTCTTTTACCTTTTTCTCTTTTAGGGGTCTCCTAAAGCTCTTTCCTTGGGTCCCTTCTGTTCCTATCTACACAACGTCTCTTGGTCAGTTGATAACATCACTTGGCTTCCAATACCATTCTCTATCACAAGCTCTATCCTTCAGGATAGAGAGAGGACAGGGTCCAGTGATTATGTTACCTTCACTAGCTCCTTCCTTTCCTGCATGAATACAATGAATGTCTGATACCGATCACTCACCGTGTTCATTCATTCTTTTCCTTTTTTTGCATTCATAACTGAAGCATAGTAAACTCTGTTTTTTTTGGAGGGTGGTGCCCTGTCAGGTTGGCCATATGGGGCCCCGGGTTTCTAACAGCAGCCTTTTAGACACCATCAGGCAGGTGGTCAATCAGCCACAGCTCAAGGAACCTCTAGCACCTACTGGAGGAACCCTAGGGTTCCATGGAAATCTGACTGTGAATGACACCATTCTTAACCAATGACACCAACAAGCTACTAATATATATATATATATATATATATATATATGAAAAAAAAGGCTGAAAAAAGAAAGTCAATGCAGACACCACACCTAAGGACTGGACTGGCAATGTATTCAAAATTTGGTTTTGGGTTTAGATACACCTTAAGGCACCAAATGTTGTGTACCTACAGGTAAAATCCACTCCTGGGTTTACCATTGTGGGATTCCCTATGAATCTTTCACAAGTAAGCTGCACATCTGATCCGCAGTGTTTTATCTTTGAAGTGCAGAGTGGTACTTTCGGGAAGGATCCATTTGTTGCCCGGGATAATGTAGTCGGCCACACATTTGTTTTCAGAGTAACCTAAGAGGCTGCGTCTACTTATAATAATGCAGAGAAGATCAATAGCTCATGGCTGATATCAGCTGCCCGCACACCGTTTCTGTATGGAAATTGAACAATATCTGATCACATTGTACGGGAGAAGCGAGAATGGGGACTCTGGTTACATTACTGCTTGTGATGATAAATTTGGCATTTTTTTTCTGTTTTCAATACTATAAAAGTCGTCCATGCAGAATATCTGCTTTATATTTAAAGCTGAACTCCAGCCTTCCCTTTGGTCTTGCACAGTTGTACCGGCTCCTCACCCGGACTGAAATTGTTTATCCTGATTTCACTGCACACTGTGAGCTTCTCCTCTCTCTCCTCATTGGCTTACTGGCTGTGATTGACAGCAGCGGGAACCAATGGCTGCCACTGCTGTCTCAGCCAATGAGAAGGAAGAGTCCCTGGAGAGCCAAGGTTCTCATGCACATCGTCGGATCGCAATGGGGCTCGGGTAAGTATTAGGGGGCTGAAGGGGCTGCTGCACACAGTTTTTTTGCCTTCATGCGTAGAATGCATGAAGGTAAAAAAACCTTGAGGGTTTAGAACCACTTTAACCAGTTGCTGACCAGCCACAGTACATATACTGCAGCAGGGCGGCACTGATGCGCAAAATCACATATATATATACCACTCTACCTGCCCTACCCACGCTGTGATCGTGTCAATCACCGGGTCAATTACCCGCTGGATCCGGGCTATTACCGGCAATCACTGAAAGAGAGCTCGGCTGCAGTGTTTACAACTACCCGGATCAGTGTGCTCAGCTCACCCTTCCTGATCAGTGTGCTTACAGTGAAGCACACACCCCCTGCCCCCCCTAGTGAAACACTCCCTTCACACAGTTAGCCCTTTGATTGCCACCAAATATTAACCCCTTCCTCCCCAGTACCATTAATACAGTGTCAGTGTTTTTTTTTGCACTGATCACTGTATTGGTGTCACTGGGGATGTCAGTGACCCCAAGTCAGTTCCCCCGCAGTGTCAGAAATGTCCGCCGCAGTCCCATCATAAGTTGCTGATCGTCGCCATAAGTCGCTGATCCCCCGCCATTATTAGTATAAAAAAAAAAATTACACGTATTCGGATTTTTTTTTTTAGCAAAGACATGTTGCAGAAGACATTATGGCCTAAATTTATGACGAAATTTGAATTTTAAACTTTTTTACTGGATATGTTTTATAGCAAAAAGTCCAAAATATTGTTTTTTTTCTGAAAACTGTCGGTCTTTTTTTTTATAGCGCAAAAAATAAAAAATGTACAGGCGATCAAATACCTTGAAAGAAAGCTCAATTCGTGGGGAAAAAAAGGACGTAAATTTCATTTTGATGCAGCATTGCATGACCGCGCAATTGTCAGTTACATTAACGCAGCACTGTAACACAAACTGCTTCCGTAATAACATGCATAAAATACGTTAAATGTATATTGCTTGAGGTGATTGTAGCCGTATTAGTGCATTTGCGACAGAAACAATTGAGTACTGACGTGATACTTTTTTTATTTGCACTAACATACAATTTTGAGGACAAGCTTTCGGGGTATGTCCCCTTCTTCAAGGTCCAAGCAGTACTAATCACAAAGTTTTAGCAGAATATTAGAAGAGATGTGGGGGATGAAAAAAAAAAAAAGACTAGATATAAGATGCAGCAAAAGCAAAGACTGGGGGGGGGGGGGGGACAACACTCACAGAGGGAGTCATAAAACTGTTGGATAATGATTGATGATAATGATTGCACTTTTGCACACCTGTGGGACACTTCGCACAACCAGACCGCACTATGGGAGACCTCAATATTTTAGTTCTTAAAGGAAATGTCAAATCCATTCAGGAAAGAAAAACTTTTGAACTAAGAATGATAATTCTATCTGACACAAAGAGATAACGGCCTGAATTTGGACATTGGATATGTCGCTCAGTAGGTGTGTGATTCAATCTCAGTCTCCACCCGAATCACACACCTACTGAGTGACATATCAGACTGGATGTCGCTCCACTTCCTTAAACTGAACCTCTCCAAAACCGAGTTTCTTGTCTTCCCCCCAGCCCGGACACCCCCCCCCCATTGACTTCTCCATCATGCCCAACTATCAGACCCGCCCCGCAGGCCAGAGTACTTGGTGTCATTCTGGACTCCAACCTATCCTTCCAGCCCCAAGTCCAATCCTTAACAAGCTCGTGCAGACTCCACCTCCGCAACATCGCCAAAATCCGCACGTTCCTAACCCCAGAAACCACTAAACAGCTCATCCACTCCCTCATCATATCACGACTCGACTACTGCAACTCCCTCCTCACTGGCCTGCCTCCCCACTGGCTATCCCCGCTTCAGTCGATCCTGAATATGGCAGCCAGACTCATTCACCTTTCCAACGGCTCCGTTTCCTGCCACCCCCCTCTGCCAATCCCTCCACTGGCTTCCGATTGCGCAACGGATCATATTCAAAATCCTAACGCTGACGTACAAAGCTGTCCACCATACTGCCCCGAAACTACATCACCGACCTAATATCCAAGTACCGCCCAACACGCACACTCCGCTCCTCACAAGACCTCCTTCTCTCTAGTTCCCTGGTCTCCTCCTCCCATGTCCGCCTCCAGGACTTCTCCAGGGTGTCACCCATCCTCTGGAACTCCCTGCCCCAACCCATCAGATTATCACCTACTCTCCGCTCCTTTAGGCGCACCCTGAAAACCCATCTCTTCAGGGAATCCTACCCCACCCCCTGCTAACTTGCCGACCTCCTCCACTCTTCCTACCACTCCATCCCCCACAGCTATCTCCTCCTGTGCCACCATCCCCTCCCTCCTAGATTGTAAGCTCGAGCAGGGCCCTCGAACCCCTCATGTTTTGCATTGTATTGGTATTGTTCTGTCACATGTTCTGTCCCCCTTTGTAATGTACAGCGCTCAGCGAACTATTGGCGCTTTATAAATACTGTATAATAATAATAATAATAATCATTATCCAACAGTTTTATGACTCCCTCTGTGAGTGTTGTTTCCCCCCCCCCTGCAGTCTTTGCTTTTGCTGTATCTTATCTCTAGTCTTTTTTTTTTTTCTCATCCCCCACATCTCTTCTAACATTCTGCTAAAACTTTGTTAAATGTATATATAATTTTTGGGGAAAATTTAGGTTGAAATGAATGGCCTAGTGACAAAGTCTCCTTCAGAAAAATGTTAATGTGTAAGGGTATACTTATGAAACATTTAAAAGGGTAAATGATATAATAATAATATTAATATTATTAAAACAATAATAATAAAAAAAATAATAATATAAAAAAATACTGATAACAGAACAATAAAATCTATTTTTCAATGACTTGGTTTACCATGCTTTTCTCATTGACTTGATAGATTCATCCAGAGGTAATCCAGATAGATTCTCGGCTATGGTGCGTTTCCATTTATGGAAGATAACCCATAGAATTTGACATGAGGTTGTAGAGTGTATCTCATTCATTGCACAAAACTCCATCTCTTCTCTCTTTTTTTTTTTTTTTCTGGCTGATGGGAAATCGGGATACTTAATAGTAATGACCTTGAAAATGTATTTTTTTCTCTTTAGGAAGTTTTATTGCCCTGCACCTAGGAGGGAGCCTGATCATCTCTACCCAATTCTCCTTACATTCATATTTCACCCTAGACTCGTTTCTAGGTTCCTGGCAGCATAAAATGGAGTTTTACAACAAGGAAAAGTTCTTTGTGGAAGCAGAGATATAAAAGAATTAATGCCAGTGTTAGAGTAAAACGGAATGATGGCCGGGGAACGGCTCGGTGTCAGTGACAGAGGTGAACTTTCATCTATATACGGTTATTTAAAGTAGAGGTAAACCCAATCCCTAAAATCTCAAGCCATTTTCAGTCCTTTTAAATGTGTAGATTTCATTAAAATGATACCAGATCATCTTGCTATAAAGGTCCTTCATCAGGCACTTTCTGTTATAGGGTGACAATGCTCTGCCGTTGTATCCCAATTGTTCTCTTGTGTTGTCACCTTGTCACGTGGGCTTCCGATAGAGACTACAAAACAAATTACTGAGGCATGGTCCATTGGTATGACCATCAGCAAC